AATGGGAAGATTGAGAAGAAGTGTAAGACCAGAGATATCTAAAACGCAATTCGGCTTTGTTCCTGACAATGGCACAAGAAATGCTATATTCACCTTACAAATGCTAATGGAAAGATGTATTGAAGCACAGAAAGATCTGTATTTATGCTTCATAGATTATTCAAAGGCGTTCGATAAAGTTAGACATGATGAGCTATTTAAAATACTGGAAAAGCTAGACATAGATGGAAAAGATGTAAGAATTATCAGAAATTTGTACTGGGATCAAAACGCTGCTGTACGAATTAATGGAGAATACAGTGAATATAAGCAGCTCAGGCGAGGAGTGAGGCAAGGATGTGTTATGTCACCAGACCTCTTTAACTTGTACAGTGAAACAATCCTTAGAAACATAGAAGAATGTCCAGGCCTCAAAGTTAATGGAGAAAGTATTAATAACATCAGGTATGCAGATGACACGGTTTTAGTAGCAGGCTCCGTAAAGGACCTTCAAATGCTTCTAGATACTGTTGTAAAAGAAAGTGAATGTAAAGGATTATTGTTGAATGTAAAGAAAACAGAATGCATGGTAATATCCCAAAAAGCAGCAAATCCTAGTTGTAATCTCATTAGCAAAGGTGAAAAGATCAAACAAGTCCAACAGTTTAAATACCTAGGATATATGATAACATCTGATGCCAAATCTTCTGCAGAAATGAAAAGGAAAACTGCAATGGCTAAGGCTAGTTTCAATAAAATGAACCCAATCCTGAAAAATAGAAACATATCAATGAACACCAAAATGAAAGTCCTGAAATGCTATGTTTGGTCAACCCTTCTATATGGCTGTGAATGCTGGACAATCACTAAAGACAGTGAAAATAAAATAGAGGCAACAGAAATGTGGTTTCTTAGGAGACTGCTAAGAGTATCGTGGAAGGAAAAGAAATCAAATGAGGTAGTGCTTGATGAAGCCCACGTGGGACGCTCAATGTTAAAAACAATCAGGAAACGACAAATGCAGTTTTTGGGACACCTGAATAGACATAAGGGTCTTGAACATCTAGCTCTCACTGGCAAAATTGAGGGCAAGCGAGGCAGGGGTAGGTCCAGAACAACATACTTAGGGAACCTAAACAAATGGGTAACAGGGAAAGATCAGGAAAACGTAGCTTTTCTGAGAGCATCCGAGCAAAGGAATGAATGGAAAATCATGATCCCCGATGTCTGTCGCAGATATTGCACTGGATGATGATGAAGTGAGGGAAAAGTGGGTGCACGCTATAAATTGGTTGATATTCACTGTTCAAAACGAACAAACAATGAGCAATTAATTGACTCGTCAAAATAACTGTTCTGTGAAATTAAAACGATTGCTTACCAGGAACAGATATAATATGCGTCATTTTTTCTGGTTTGTTTCAAAATAAGCATTGCAAGAGAGAGAGAGAGAGAGAGAGAGAGAGAGAGAGAGAGAGAGAGAGAGAGAGAGAGAGAGAGAGAGAGAAAGAGAGAGAGAGAGTGAGAGAGAGAAAGAGAGAGAATGGGAGGCAAAAAGGAAGAACAAACCATATAAATGTAGAAATTGTGTTCTTCTTGAGAGAACAAATGGTTAAATTATGAAGAGGAAATTAATACAGCTAAATCTCTGTTGGGGGTTCTTGATTCACTCCCAGAGTAACACCCCCATCATGTTCTCCATGTCGTTACACAGGTTCCATTGACATTATACTGAGCCATATAGCTACCACAAAGAAAATCCCGATATACTTTTCATTTTTCTTTCTAGTGTTTTGTTGTTTATGTTGTTGTTTTTGTTATTTTTGTTTCTTTACCCCCCCCCCCCCCCCCCCCCCCCGGTCCCCAATCTATACATTGATTTTGAAAATATTTTTAGTGGGTTTTTTTAAAACCATGATTGAATCAAGTATTATTTTCTTATATCACAGATAAGAGGAGAAATATTCAGTTTCAACAGTTCGTGTAATTCATCATGTCAAATACCGCGCGCACAATGAAAACCTGTCACACAGCTGCAAGTATTAAAATGCGACATTTTAGCACGTACGATTCTCTTTACCGCCAAATGACGACATACTGTCAAAGACTACATAACAAGTCCTCTCTTTGAGCCAATTTAAAAGTGTTCTCAAAATCCGGTGGCGCCCTCTTTGAAAAAGCGTGGACTTTGCGAACCGAGATACCTTACTTGTGTGAAAAACAATAAAAGTGAAACTAGCAAGTTGTGCTATTCGTATTCTTCTTCTGAAGAAAACGAAAGAGAGCTTCACAACAATGACTGCAGCGCAATTCAGGTGCAAAGCGCGGACACTTTTTTCTGGCGAGTGAACTGTCTTGTTCTTCAACCATGCTATTGATGGAAACTTTCCGAGTGTGCACGGGGTCTAACTTTGATATGCGACTGCTTGTCCAACAACTCAGGTTTTCCAGCAGTTGCCGACCAATACTGAACATGTATGGCCGTCTGTCGTGTCTATTGTTTCCGCATTCATTTTTTCTTTTTGGCTGCTGTTTTGTTCTTTTACGTGTTCTGTAAAGTAAGCGAGGTTTACGTGACGTGTGGCACTATAATCTCCAACTTGAGAGTTTCCTTTGTCATGTTCTTCCCTGCGCTTAGATTTTTACAGTAACGCATCATGGGTGTTTTTTCACGATATCAACGCCTCAGGGTTTCCATTAAAAGAAGCGCGTTCTACATGTCCTTCGAGTCGTGTTCATTGGTACCAGAGTATTGAGCTGAAACTTGTATTCTTTCTCTGGATCCACCCAAGTGGTCCTTTGTTTTCGGACATCAGATTGGTTCATTGTTTTATGACTTCTTATATTTACAAACGAAATCCAATTAAATCGGCGTGTCTGCTTTTAAATCGAAGGTCCTTAAACAAACTTGGGTATTCTTTTCTCAAATGAAGTTACCCCACATCCCATCATTTTTCAATGTATTTGCATAGACTGCACTTTGAACGGTGTGATCTTTTAATTTCAGTGATTGTTTGTACAGTATTGTAAACCAAATGTCCGTAATCGTGAAAGAAAGCTGTCTTTAAAGTTGTTTAAACTGTGGTGCTTTCCTTCACCAGGATAAAGCTATGGTTAAAGTGCACTCTTAGAAAAGGAGAACTTCTTCGTTGCTTGTGGTAAACAATAACAAGTTTGCGAAACAAGATAAAAGTGGTAGAGTGGAGTTCTACAAAGTAACTACCCGGGGGCTGCTGGAGGTAGGGTATAGTTAAGTCAGGGTCAAACAGCGACTGCCCTACACTTTAAGAAAAAGACAAATGAAAGAGTAAATAAAAAGAGAAACAAAAGAATACTAGTCTTTGTCTTTCGAGAAAAGTACAACGGATGCAATCTTCTCAGTCTTTAGTGATAGCAGTCAAGGACATCATCGATTCTTCAGAACATGACCTTCCTTTACCTACTCCTTGCTGCTGTGGTCTTTGCAACATTTCGTTTTGCAAAACTCAGCTAGATCTATTATATTTTTGTTCAGGAGGAAGGAAGTAAGATCCAAGGTATTACTCGAAGATGCCTATCAGTAAATTTGGATCACAACTTTGGCTTATGAATGTTTATGGTGGATTTTCTCACAGACACGTGCCACCAAAAAAGGTGCATATTACGCATGAAACTTCTGGAACGCTCAGGGAGGATTGAAAACAATTCTGTCAAAAATTGATCAAGCTTGGACTGCGCAAACACTAATATCTGATTTCCCTTTTCTGCTCTTATTTCATCTACTCTGTACCCGTTCGAACAAATAAATCCTGTTAGAAGTACATGTAATTAAAAAAAATTACGTTTACAGTTAACTTATTCTTTGAACTTGTACGGCAAGGTGTCGAGGGGAGAAACAATAATAATTGTCGGTGTGTTATGTTTTGGATTGCCATAATATTACTTGTATTGTTGCTTTAGAGGGTCTCTTTGTCTCCATCGTTCCATCTTGTTCTCAGTCTTTCTCTTATATGTGAAGTCATAACATTTCAGGCAGTAAGCTATTGGGGCCGGCTGTTGTGGACCCATTCTCATAACACGTCGAAACAACGCAATCTGTTGTCTCATGGAACATTGCATGCTCTTCTTGTTAAGGTCACCTGTATCTTCGTCTCTGTGCATGTCCATTCCCATGATGAATGGATAATAATATAATCCTTTGATATTTGAAATGTAATTACTACTACCCTACAACGCATGTCACTGATAGTCCATGTTTCACACTAATAAAATTTCGAATTAATTCGCTGCTACTGATTAATCACACTCCCAGGCCTCCTCAAATGAACTACAATTGAAGAAGGTTCATTTAGAGATGGAGAACTTGATCTTTGGTAGTCAATACATCAGTACCAAGACACCTACACCCAAGAACTGCGCGGAAATTAATTCAGACGCCTCACGACTGGGAAGGTCGATCGTCCACGTGGCAGATCACTAAGACAGACAAGTTGACAGATTTAGATCAGATATCTTAAATACAACGTGGTACACTGTCGTTCGTTCTAATAATGTTGTCTGCAGCCCACATATTTCATAATAGGCTACTTAGTTCAACGTTATAAATAATGAATGGGACCATCAGTCGCAAACTTTTTTTTTTTGTTGTCTTCTTCCTACATTTCGTGAGCCTTCTGTATCAAATATAACATATCGCCAGCATACTGATTTCGCAACGGAGATTGAGTTCAGCAAAACGCAGTCTTCTAAACCGAAAACGTGATATGGCAAATACCTTCCAAACACACAGACATGTGCACACTCACAAAGAGGTGGTAAAGACAAAGTATAATAAGTTTGATTTTTTAGAATGCTACCAGAAACCCAAAGAGTGACAAGAACCAGATCTAGCGTCATTAAGAAGCATGGCCTAGTGCTGTTTCAGAATAAACGAAAACTATAAACAAAAGGCTACAACAAAAAACAGATAGAAACAGCGAAACTATGAGACTGCTTTAATGCATTTCAGCATAATAGCATTTTTTTTTGGGTATCTTTCACAGGTGAATGAAGAAGAAGGAAGTCTGATGCCTGTCTGCTGCGGAAAAAAACTTATAACGTCAAAACTGTGATCTACATCAAGGCAACATTGCTGCCACCAATTCAAATACGAACCTGGGAGAACTGGAGATACTGAAGCCTTCATCTCTCCCGAAATTTGTGAAGTTCTAGGAAACTTTGTTTGCAGTTTATTCAAGTTCCACTCCGTTATACACGATAAAGTTATCAAAATGACGGGATATGAGGACTTTGCCCGTGGCAGGTTAGAAAATGTCACGATCTTGTTTCCAGATGGTGAATGTACCAAGTTTAACCTCTGAGCTGTGTCTGTGACACAAAAAACTGATTTAAAAAAAACCTCGATAGCATAAACAGACAAAACAAAACTTTTGTGGGGCTGTCAGTATAAAGCTTTACATGAGGCAGAGGAGCAAAGTGAAATAATATACAAAATGAACATCTTAAAATTTAAACATGTTTCCTGTCATTAGAACTACATTTCTAGAACTGTCCAACCCTTCCTAATTAACGACAGAAACCAACAAAAATAATTTTAAAAAACAAACAAACGAACAAACAAGCAAACAAAAGCTTTTCATTCCCCATATCCCATTTCAAAAATATATACAAGTAAACAAGCAAACAAACAAAATCAAACAAACAAACAAACGACAAATCAACTGAACTAAAAAAAGGAAAACAATACTATAAAAAAAAAACTAGTCTCATCCACCGTCCCTCCACTGGCGAACCAAGCAGCGCAGTTATGTCACCGACATCTCACACGGGTCTTCCCTCTGGGGTGGCGGAAGGACAGGTCCCAACAACGGCAACAGCGACAGCAGCAACAACAGCAGAGGCTGCGTGGGAGCACGCGACATCGGCCTCTTCCACGCTCTTCCCGCCACGCCACATCGACTGGCTCCCACACACAAGCGGCGCGTATGGCGGTGACTCGCATGCCCAGGCGTTGCGCTCCGCGGGGAACCTCAGTCAGGTTGGGGTAGCACTCACGCACGGCGACTCGGCCCTCATAGACCAGGTCTTCACCCCAGAGTCACCACCTGATTTCTCTGATATTTACGACCTTTACGATTTCGACAATGTCCATTACTTCAATAGTTCCTACGCAGACTACCCGCCCTTCTACGAGCAATTGATTGATCACAGCGCCTTCAAGATGCGAGACGAGCTGTTTCGATACGCTAGTCCCGTAGTTATTGTGCTTGGGAACATTAGCAACTTGATGGCGTTATTTGTTCTCCAAAGGAAGAAACTTCGGAGAAGTTCAGTATGTTTTTACTTGAGCGCGTACGCTGTGGCAAACCTCTGCGTGTTGGATTTCTTACTCGCTGTCGCGTGGGTTTGCTTTGTGTTTCAAAAACCTTATGTTACGTTTCTCGCTGATTGGACATGCCGATTGTGGATGTTTCTAACAAACGTCATGACTTTCAGTGGGATATGGTTTGTTGTCGTGATGAATATTGATCGTTTGATTTATCTCACTTCAAAGACGAAAGCTAAGAGCTACTGCACTGCCTTTGCAGCCAAGACTATCGTCATATTTGTCGTCATAGGTCTCGTGGTGGTCAGCATTCATGCAATGTGGACATACGCTCTGCAACCACAGGGATGTTTCGTATCTTATCAACAGCAGGACCTTCACACAATCATATGGCCGTGGTGGTCCGCGGCAGTGTATTCTTACATTCCTTTATCTTTACTTTTAATCCTAAACATAGCGCAGGCGATAGCTATTTGCCTTCGCTGGTGTCAGTGTGTCCCGTTCGTAGAGTGTTTTCCCTGCAAGATGTGCACACCCATCAACTCCTGTACACAATACACACCGTGCGCGCGCTGTGTTCGCAGTCAACCAAACTCTCCAGACTCCTCGGGGACCACTCCAGACGATTTTGTCGTCACAGTCATGGTGGTCTCCCTTTCTTTCTTCTTGCTTACCATCCCAGCTACTGTGATCAACATACTCGACATCCATCTGCCTTCCTCCGCACTCACCGTTGATCTAATAGCGCGTATTGAACTCACGAAGAAAATCACCGAGCTGCTCTCCACGCTGAACCGAACAGTTTTGGGCTATCTCTTATTGGCGTGCTCCAAAGATTTTCGCCACGAGTTCGTCGCTTTTTTACGTCTGATCTGCTGTTGCCTCAGGTCAAGGAGGATATTCAAAGTTTTTGAAATGCGGAATATGTCCAATTCTGAAGACAGTTCGCCCCACATACAGGTGGATTACGAACTGTGCAATAACAATGACGAGACTGTAACTGATGTGTAAAGGCAATGTTTGTTTTCCTTCTTGTTTATTTTTATTGTGCTGGACCCACTTCTTTTTATTATCATTATTATAATACTAACTTATCATTGAACCTAATATTTGTTCTTGTCCTTTTCAAATTGCTTGTTTGTGATGAACCTAGAGAATGTTGTTGTGGAATGACTGCCTCTTTGCTGTGAGTATGTTCATACACAAAGGTTACATTATCACGGTACACAAAATGGACTCATGACTCACTTGCCACTTGGTATCCGTAAATATAATTAGTTGGGTCTTGTGTAAGCAATATGAACACTTAAAAAAAACACCAACAGCCATTTATGACAGATTTGTGTCCCAGTGCACTTCTAATCAGGGTAGTTACACCCTCGTTTACACTTTATGTTTGTTGCAGCACAAGTGTTACTAAAAGGTGCTCCAGGCTCTTTAGAGAGTTGATAAAAAATATATTTCTCAGACTTCCAATCGACTGATTGTAGTAGACCTGTTTTGCATTTTGTTCATGTTTGCGACATATATCATTGTTGTTATATGTCACTGGGAGGTAGCATTAAAATGAAACAATTTTGAACATATTCGACGAATAGGCTAATGTCCCCCTATGAATTTAGAAATCAGCGCCTATTTTTAAAGCCAACTAGAACAACATAATACATACCACGTGTTCTTCTTTCTTTTAAATAATGTACTAATAACAAACCCCAGATAAGAAATCCTCTGCGTGACATTCCAAACTTTTCAACAGGTATTCTTGATGTGACAATATCCATGCCGGAAAATGTGAGCAGTACTTTGCTATAGGAAGTCGAAAGATTTTTTTCTATACTACAGCATTAATAGTATCCATTTAATGTTAACAACGTCACCCTGACACCCTCTCCCCCCAATCTCTTTCCCCTCTGTAGACCCGCCCATTCCTCGATATGTCAATCTATCGCTTATTTGGAAATTATTCTGCAAAAAAACAGGAGCATGGATTAATGTATTAATCACAGCGAATGTGGAATGCACCACAAAATGAATGAAAAGGACACTATATAAGATGAGCATCGTGTAATGAAACAGTCATCACGAAAACAACCATCTTGATAAATTACGGATACATCGATAGTAAAGTCAGTGCTCTCTCTATTGCCCTGAACGATTGCTTAAGGGACACATGAAACATTTCAGTTGGTAAGAAAGTTTTGAATTTAGTCCACAAAGGTATATTTAACGTGCGCAACATGCAAACGGGCCCTCCGAGATTTTTCGCCCTTGTCTGAGCAGGCTAGGTGTAGATCTTTCGTGCCATAACATCAGAGATGTGGTTGAAAGACATTTGTAAGAAGAAGCCAAGAAGTAGCAGTAGAAAGGATACAGAAAGAGTTAGAAGCCCAGAAGAGGGGGCAAATTAGGTGAGGGGATGGGGGCAAAAAATGGGAATGAAAGCAGACGACAGAACATTGCTAGATAGCAGTAAAGGAGGGGAAAGGAGACAATTTTAGAGAAGAAACATTTTCCATCGCTACCCTGATTCGAACCGGGGACCTTCGAAAGAAAGTCGTACAACTTAACCTCTTGGCCACGAGAGCCCCAACTAGTTTACTTTGACCCGACATTTATAGGAATAACAACTCTTGTTGGAACTTACAAGTAGACTTGGACACGTAATATCATATTGCTTGTTCGTCCGTTGAAGAGACGAAATGTTCTATTTATTATCAAAACAATATTATCATCGATAAGTATATTTGGCAAACAGACATGAGGGAAACATGCACTCTCGATGAGCCACTATCTGAAAAATCTGGTGAAGAAAACGGACAATTCAGAAACGATAAGGTCTGACTGGATAGACCCTGTTCTCCTTGTGTTTTACTGTTACTGGTTGGGGGGGGGGGGGGGGGGGGGGAGGGTTGTCTGGGAGTTTTGGTGAAAGTAAACTTGAGCCCGCAATGCAGAACTAATTTGACCTACTTCCCACCGACCGGAACTTACGTCCTCGTGGGCTACATGTGGGTCACCGTGATGCCACATCGCTAAATCGTAGGACAATGTCACGTAGCATAAGAATGGGAAGCTCATTTGACTTTAGCTATTTCTCATCATTTAATGGAATGAATCACTGTTTATTCATCTAGAACTCAGTATACTTGTTACCAGGACAACTTTGACATATTTAGACAAATGAGGCGGAAAACATCTGTCAATTAGCTATCCCAGTGACGCAGTAGCTGTCTTTAAAACGGTTTAAAAGCCTTGGCACTGAGCAATGCCACAAGGGTCTCTCAAGGTGTCAATCAAAGGCTGGCAGGCACGGAGTCAACGTTAATGATGCCATCCATAACGGTTTTGTATGTCAGATGGAGCGGTTTAACTGTTGAACCGCTATGTAGCGGATGCGGCTTAGGGTGGATAGAATTGAAAGGATTGTGATATCGACCCAGTTGTACTTGTAAGGAACGGTATTCTATCCCGTGTTGATGAAGTTTTAATCCTGGAAGAGTTATAAATTAAACTATTTAAATACAGTTTCGGAACGGAACTTGTTAACTGAATATGATATTATGCTTTCTTCCCCACGAACATGAAATACTTTCTAACATTTAGATCAGGTTTTTCCAACCTGGACAATCTTTATGATTTTGTGTCTCAGGAATTACTTAATGGTCTTCTTTGAAATACATGAAGGCGGTCGGGTGGTCGGTGCGAAACGTTTTAATTTTTAGAGATGGAAAAAGTTGGTGGCAGCAATAAAAAGGCTGATAGGCACTGATGAAATGAGACCAAAGCACCTGTCCTCATTAGAACTAGACCTATACTCTAAGTTGAGGAGCTATTTCTCAATTTCTGCTTTGTTAAAATTTCATCATGATTACTGACATATGAAATGTATGACATCATAAACTAGGAGGTTTGGACATAGCATTCTTGCTTTCCTGGGTGCTTTCTAATCACAAGTTGACGATTCGGTAGTTTTGGTGGACGGTGGGGATCACCCAAGTAGTCACAGGTGTTATTTCATGTCCTGCTTTAAAAGTACAAGTGGATATGTGTTATGAAACTGCTCTCCTCTTAAAGGCATGAAAAGCGGAGGCTGGTATTAAAGTGGTAGATGAAAATGATGACAAGCACTGCATTAAAACGTTTCACGAATAAAGTTATTCGTCACTCAAAGGTAAAATCAAGCAGTGGCCAGTTGTTGTTTGTTTGTTTGTTTTGTTTTGTTTGGGTTTTTTTATATTAGTTTGGGGGGGTTTTTTTTGGGGGGGGGGTTGGGGGGGTTGGCATATGGATTTATTTGCACAACTAGAAGTATATTATTTGTCTTGCTTTTGATGAAATAAATACTCATAAATATATAATATCTCGAAAAGAAGCCGTGTTATTTGCTACTGAAGGCGTCGGCGGTCCTCTGTTTTCATAATTTTAAAATGATCACTGAAGTCCAAACAGGAATGTGTTTTAAAATGATATCAGAAGATGAAATTTTGGAGAGAAAAACCCAGCTTAGTCCACAAGGAAACATACTCTAGGAAAGAGGGTAAGTGGTACGAATTGAATGCAGATTAAATGTCTTTTTTATTTATTATTTAACCAACATATTTTAAGTGCAATAATAACGTGCCCGCGGTAAAACTTCTTTAAGTAAGGTTTAGCAGCAGGGGATATATAATCTACATTTGTGTCAAGACATGATGGAAATCAGACGCTCTTCAATTTTTGACACGTGGAGATATTGGTATTATCTGATTGTTTGCTCATTTGTCTTGCTTCCAAAGAATAAAAATACCCTTCTTTTTAGAGTAGAGAATTATAGAATTTGGGGATTGCCTGGTTTCAGCAGAAAAAAAAAATGCAAGAAAATGACGTCAAAGTTTCATGATTTCCTTAGCTGAAGAGTCCTTGGAAACTAAAGAAACAAACCTTTTTTTACCTTTAATCAACGGTTTTTCAGTAATATTCTCACAGAAATGAGTTTTTAAATGGACATAGAATATAACGAGATGAAAAACATAATTCAATTTAAAAAATGCTTAAACCTCAGGAAAATGTTGTTTGTTTGATTTCATTATTTTGACGAGCGCCTGATTTCACAACGATGCCGCAAATAACTCACACTAATCACGTAGCATAACATTTTGTTCCTTTTAGATATATAGCAATGATTATTTCTCATGCCATTTTCTGCTGTGATTTGCTTGTAACTGTATGATTGCATCTGGACAAGATCGCGTGCCACTTCGTATTTCTTAAAAAGCAGCAAATGAGGAATTGAATGCAATATTATTTCATTTGTTAAATAGCAGTTAATCGTGAGATGAATTACTTTAAATGCTGTTAAATGTCAGACTAATTTCGACACTGCTAAGTATGATTACACAAATTCGGAGGAAAGAGGCACGAAGATACACGTTGTCCAAAATGCAATTCTATTTTAATTTGTCGTAGCACGATAAAATCTAGTTGGATATGTTTATAAATCATCGACATAACATCATACAATGTTATTTGAGTTCCTGAGAGATTCCATTCCTCAACATTCATCAGTATTCCTTGGCACATTCGTCAACATCCATCATGGTTCCATGGCATATTCGTCAACATCCGTCATTATTTCCTTGGAGAATCAAGTTTATGCGAGATGAATCTCATGATACCCCTTAGCTCATCGCCATGGCATGACATTCGGTTATAGCGAATTTTCACGAAGAAACAGCAACACATTTAAAATTCTCATTGGCTCTAATGTTGGCCTTGATTTAAAAAATAAAAAAAACATTCCCCACAAACCCAAACAATTAACGACAACAAAACATAGCAATACCTTTGGTACTCATCTATTTAAACTGAATATCCCGCTCACTAAATCAATCCAACCTACATGTGAGCAGAGGGTAAACTAACATAGCCCCGAAAGATAACAACACCCACTAGGGTAAAAGCCTGTCAGTTGTGCCGTCGGTGGTCTAGTGGTTACGCTCTCGGAATTGTAGGTTCGAATCCTGTCAAAGATCTGACGTTATGTTAGTTGGAAAAGGGCTTTACAGGAATCCATAGACACCGAAACATCTTGTCAATTTGTCAGTGTTTTATTGTGTGCATTCCACAAA